GGGGTGTGACATTAACAGATTTACATGAACTGAACTGAAAACCTTTGGTAATGAGCTTGAAATATAATTGATACATAAACTATACCTATTATAGTTTATCTAAAATGTTTGTAATGCAAATGAACCCCATTTTATGTGAGTCGAATGTATAGCAAAAACATAACCATGTTTATCATTCCTTATCTTGTATTATTTGTAATGACAAAGGACTCTTACCAATCAGTGAGTAGTTTCTATTATATAATTATACCACAACAGAAAACCCAGGTAAAATATGAAATCATCAACGATTAACACTTTGCTCAACATGTTACAAAGTGTAATGAAAGTTGTAAGCTGTAAACTTGTTTTTGACACTTCTGCACTATTTTGGAAAAATCACAGAATAATTATACGAAGTCGAAAACTAAATCCATAAACTCTGAATGTTTATAAAATGTGTCTAGTTTGTTCATAAATTTTATTCTGATTTTTAGATGTCTCTAACTTGTTTGAAAATGTCCATATTCACATACTGGTCCGAATTCGTAGCTACAGTGATAGGCAGTTTTGTAAAAATCGTCATAAATTGTAGAAAACTCGTATGGACATGTGAAAGTAGTCATTTTAAAGGTATAAACCTGAACTATCTGCATCTAATACAATTTTGAAAACTAAAATGTTTAAGTTGACTAAAACAGTCCGTGAATGTAGTTAAACTTGTCTGATGAAAGTTGTCGGATGAGTTTAGTTGTGTTCTTGGTGTTTTAACTTGTATTCCCCCCCCCCCACCCCCTTAAAACTTGAGAAAAACATGAAAATATAGGGGTATGAACTCACCTTGTGTTTTCTTAGTGGATGGATTTCGAAGAAAAGAAGTGTTCAACTCAAGAACACTTAGAAGATGCCTTGAAGGTTCGAAGATCTAACACAAATGTGATGGAATTTTTGTAAGTATTCTATGATTTTGGGTAGGAGGAAGTGAAATAATCATAAGGAGGATAATATCGTTGACCAAAAGTGGAAGAAAACTTGATAATCAGCCCTTGAATCTCGAATTTGAGAGAGGGAGAGAAGTGAGAGGGAAAGATGTTTGCTCTTTGGTGGAGTAAGAGTGAAGTGGGAAGGGAGATGAGGATTTTCCAGCTTTTGATCAAGAGTGTGGCTGGAATAATGGTGGGAAAAAGGACATTGATTGACTAGGTATGGGGGAATAGTGGTTGGGTATGGTCTTGGAGTGAATGTGGGAGGTTGCTTGTGTTACACACTAAGGTAAAGTCAACACTCCACCCATAAATCTTACCCACTAGATTTTATTCTTAAGCAAGGATTTTCCCCAAAATATAATTAAAATATGAATATTTAGGGTTTATTATGTTAAAATACTAGTTTGCGTGAAAATCTCACGTTAAAATCACGAAAAATAGGCTTAAAACGCTAAAAATATTGAAAACCGGACAAAAATTGTCAATTTCCGAAATTATGGGTCGGAGGTTCGGTCCCAGCTCTTAGAACCAAGAGTTGATGGGGGAACCGAGAGTAAGGTTTGGTCGTTGAAGATGAACCGAGAGAAGGGAAAGGAGAACCAAAGGTGCGAAAGAGGGAAGGAAGTAGGAGGCGAGGCTCGGTCTCGGCTGTCAGCGAGGTTCGGCTTCGGCTACCCAGCGAGGCTCGTCTTCAGCTGCTTCTCGATTCCAGGAGGAGGCTCAGTTCAGAAGGGGTTCGCCTCCTAGGAAGGTTCGGCTCCTAAGAGTTGTTTTTCGCATAGACTTCCATTTTCGAGCAGTTTTCGACTAATTTAAGGGTCGGGATCCCCCGAGTGATTATAAGAAGTTGGGAGAGAGATCTTGAGAGAGATTTCACATACTTGGAGAGATTTCTCACACAAAGAGAGATTTGGGAGAGATTTCACATACTTGGAGAGATTTCTCACACTGAGAGAGATTTGGGAGAGATTTCACATACTTGGAGAGATTTCTCACACAGAGAGAGATTTAGGAGAGATTTCACATACTTTGAGAGATTTCTCACACAGAGAGAGATTTGGGAGAGATTTTACATACTTGGAGAGATTTCTCACACACAGAGAGATTTGGAAGAGACTTCTCACATAGAGAGAGATTTGGTTTGTGACCTTTTTGAGTGCTTAGCTTTGCAATGCAAGGTCCGCAACCCTATTTAACTCTGTTTAAGAGTCTTACACACCCCCGAAAGGGGATGTAATAGTGTTTTATCACCTTGCAACCTCACTTATCCCAATCTGGGTTTAAGAAATCTAAAAATACAAATTTTTCAAGTGATGATTTAAAATAGTGAGTTGTACAATAATTACATAAAATAAACCCTAGTACACACAGGTTGGAGGAATTGAGTGGTTTGACCGGTTGACTTTGACTTGATCGGAAATTGACTGTTGTCACACTACCCCACATGGTCTTTACTAGGACTGTCGTGGGCTACCTCACATGGTCTTACATCTAATGTCATGGGCTCCCTACTTAGTCTTTATCTAGGACTGCCATGGGCTACCCCACATGGTCTTACATCCAATGCCATGGGCTCCCCCCCCCCCCCCCGCGGGGTCTTCCATGCAAGTATCATAAAGATAACTAGCATACCACACATCATATAATTACTAGCATACCACCTAGCATGAAGCTAACTATCATACTACATAACATAAAACGGGTTGGCCTTAGTGCCTTAGACCCATTGGTATGCTGAGAAGACTCACCTCGAATGCAAAAGCTTCCTGAAGAAATCCTTAGCTCCTGTCCTGCCTACTTCCTTAACCATCAATACCGATCAATATATCCAATTAGCAACTGGGTCTCATACCATAATCCTTAATCCATGCATGGGGTAAAATGACCATTTTACCCGTAGCCCAGTATGATCCAAAACTAAGGCCCGAATCTCAAAACAAAACCCAACACTAGGTAGGCTTTCCAAGCCCACTAGTAGTCCACTAATGGTCCAATTTGCTTAATTGGGCCCAATCCCTCTAATAGGCCTTACCCTAAGCCCAAACATATTCTTGGCCTAAATTATCTGACTTTTGATGGCCTACTAAGGCCCAGAGACTCAAAGCATGGCCCAAAAGCACAAGGCCCAACTGATAGAGTACGCGGGGTAATCCAAAACCTTCGAAACCTTATGTTTATGTTCCTTTATCCAATGATGTGGACTTAATTGATAATATCAAATAAGTTTTTTAAAGATGGTACGGGTTCCTTTTTTGTTCAGATTGTTGTTCCAAATGAAGTTGATCCAAACAACGTTGAAGCCGAGAAAGAGGAACAAAAGAAAATGGGAGAGGAGATTGAAAGATTGAATCAGTTGCAAATCGAGCCGGATAGAATCGATGCAGAGAAAAGAGATAGAGAAGAAACAAAAGCCACTCTTAGGGCTATACGGTCAGAATAGACTGTGGAAAGAATCCAAGCTATGATAATCAAGAAGGTTGGAAAATATTGTCTCGAACCAAATTTTTCGTATTTCATTGAGAACACAGTTGAATGTCAATTGGATTTGCCAATGTGTGGAAGAGCCTTTCTATTCAGAAGTTTTAATCATGTGGCAAAACTACCTCTTTCCGATAGTGTTGTGAGCAAGAAGATTTTTGAATTTTATCTCTAACAATTCACAACCACAATATGGCGTTTGGTCCTTGAAGCGAATTATGATGGTCAAGAAGATTGTTGAAGCTAATGTTGATGAATTTAAAAAATATAAATTCATAATTTTGAGGGCTAAAAACAAGGATCTTTTTGTTATTACACTTGTTGATCTTCCTATCATGAATCGTCATGATTAGATCATGCTTTATGGAATCTTGAAGAAACATGAATCTAAATTCAGGTCACAACTTTTGCATTTTACTTGTTGAGGTGTCAACCGGCAAGTTTGGAAAATATGAGGGAATGGCAAATTCGAACAATCCTTGAGGAATCGTTTACAAGGCTCTAGAAGATAGAAAAGTACAAAACAAGATGTTATTCCTAGACGATAAACATTGTTATAGTTTCTGATACATTAAATAATGTTCTCTCCAGAGCAGAAATGTGCAAGATGAACTCAAAGAAAGATTTAAAATAGGTTTCTAAAGTGATCAAAGTGGTGGGTTATAGTAAGACTTGTTCTTATGACTATTGTTGAAGAAGTTTTTAAAGATCAAGTTTGAAGACTCGTTTTGCAACTCAATACAACGGAGGAGATTGTTAGGATCGTATTTGATGTATTGTATTTTAGTTTTTAAAGTGAAATGTTGTTCTCAACGATAGTCTGTTTTGTTGTTAATGCGAAAGGTATGCCATGTTCACATTGACTTCACTTAGGTTCACAATTGTATAGTTTGACCTTAGTGCTCCACCGCTTTCTTGGTATGCTATATATAAGGAACATGCGTTGATAGTAGAGGGCAAATTTTAAAGGAGTCCTACAACAAATTGTAATCGCATTCCTTTGCTCTCTAATGAAAACCAAGATCTTATTTATGTTTGTGTGTTCTTTTTTATTACATATTGATTCTAATTTCTTTCTTATTGAACCTGTCGATCCAATAATGTGTTTCTCAAAGAGGTGAAGATCTATAAACATCTTTGAATTTTGTTATTTGGAACTTACAGGAGTATTTTATCTCACAGGGTACAAACCTATTTTTGCATTTGAATATACAATTTTTTTTAAGTTGACTTGGACATCAATTTCATACTTATTCTCCAGAATACAAGCATGAAAACGCATGTTACATCATCCAATGACAATTTTGATGAAGCAGGTTTAGAGTCGTTTTCTTTCTCTATCTCCCTCTTTCTATGTGTGTGTGTGTGTGCAAATGCTTTCAAAGGAGTTAAGATAGTTTAAAGAATTATATATATATATATATATATATATATATATATATATATATATATATATATATATATATAAAAGCTCGTGAAAACCATTGATAAAAAAATACTAGAAATAATAATCACTAAACAATTTTTTTACAAAAGTTAACGATTAATTTAAAAAACGTACAACAAATGCTAGACATTCAAGGTAATAGCAAAATGAAGTTAGAACCACATTAGAAAGTGCTATACCTCCGGTAAGCTTCCATCTTTTGAATTGCGGCTCGTTGGTCAAAATGAGAGCCATTAATTTGTCAATAGAACTCAATACTTCAAACTTTAAAGAAGCTTCTATGATTTCATAATCCTACAATACTATATATAAGTCAGACAACATTTGATCAAAATTGAACACGTTCTTACTTATATCAAATTTAAAAAAATAAAAAAATAACAACAATGTTGACACTTGCACATCTTTTTATTAAAATCTTATTATGTTCAATAAAATAAAAAAGGCTATAAATATAGAAATTCATGTTATAATAATTACAAGATATATCACAGTTTAAGAACTCAAAACCTTTCATTTATTCTAGAGATAATAATACGTGTGCATAAAGAAATCTAGATAAGATAACAAATTTAATCATCACGTTGCTTCCAATCTTTATTACAATATGTATAAAGCCTTCAAATTTCATTTATCTTTCAAGTTCATTGGATACTAATTATGAGAATCCAACTAACAATATTGATTGTGTGTTTTTTTTTAATAGATATAGACACTACATATTTAGGATTTTAGTTATACTTGCATAATTGTTTAATCATGTTGTGCATATACATTTAGATCTTTTTTATTATTTATCTTAGACATGAGGGTAAAACCATCATTTATTCCCCTTGGCTTCATTAGTCCCAAAAGAAACATTTTGTTATACAACCAAACACAAATTAAACAAATGGTCCCTATAGCTGGGGTAATTTCCACGTTTGGTCCCTAACTAATTTTTTTAACTCAAAAGGTCTTTACTGTTTATTTCTGTTGCGCATTTGGTCCCTGAGTAAGATATGGAATCATAGTATTAATGATGTAGTAGAGGAGAAGCTAGTGGTAGTGGAAGCAGCTGTAAATGGCTTAATCGATGACTGAAGTGATTCAGGAGCCTCTGCAACAATTCTCTTGCATACACCATCACAATTACTAATCACTTCAGTCAACCTTCCTTTTAGCTCACCAACTTCCACTTGTAACTCATGAACTGCATATATATTTTTTTTTGTAACATTTGGTTTGTTAATGTTAAAATGGAATTTAGGTTTTTTCAGTTCTATATAAAAAAATAATTCGAATCGAATTTGAAAAGTTAAAGAATACCTCCCCACAGGTGACTTGAAGTTGTTTTCATTGCTGAGAAGGAGAAATTATATGTTTGAAGAAGTTTTATTGCCAAAGCATTTACAATTTCTATTTTGTTTTCCACCTCTTCCTATAAATATAAAAATAAAAATTCATTACATAAAAAGAACAAAAAGTTAGAAAAGGCCCTATTTGTTACTTATAAGTTATAACAAACCTGTCTTTTGTTAAAGGTGTGAGCCTGTTGTTCTTGCCATTCTTGATATGTTGTGTATAATTCCATTAGCACTTTAGGATCCACAATAACTGTTAACAAAAATCAAAGATCAATATAAGAGATTTGTCAACCAAAGTTATGTTGATGTAACAATAGTAAATACAACTACGATAGTGAGAATTATAACTAAAAGATTGAGGATTTTTTTCGCCAAATAAGATAATGAAGAAAATGCACCTGTATCTGAGGAATTTGAGGGTCGATTGACCAAAATATCTGTCAAGCTACTCTTTGAGGGTTCGGATGTCAATATGGAAGTCGCCTGTTTGAGAAATTCAAACATGTGAATAACAAGAAGCCGATTTAAAACAAATTAGCACACATTTTGGTGTTGAACGTATTAAAATCGATGTAGTTTTGTCGATCTGAAAATCGTATGATCTGATACAAACATGCGAGTTAAAAACCTAATCAAATGTTAATCAGAGACAAACTCACGATTTGGAGCGAATTAAGCTTCTCTAGCACGGGATCGGAGCTTTCTAATCGCTCGGAGACAGTGGTGATTCCATCGTCCCCTTTCTTTACAGAAAACAGATTTACAGCAGTGAAAATTTTAAAAATTGAAAGATAATTGAAGTTGTAGTGAAATAGGTTGGAGAGTTGGGTTACCTGTGACCTTGAAAGAGTAGATTCTGATGAACCCATGGCCAAATGCTTCCGTGAAGGTGAAGAAATACGATGAATACCTTGTATTACTGCCAGTTAGAAGTTGCATTCCATTTCGTTGGCGGAGCTAGACTACGGACGCGGGATTACGTCGGAGATTGCCGGAAAATCACACAGTAGGTTTTACCTAGACGGTATATTCTCTTTTGAGGCTGTTAATAGGGAGAATGTGATTGGGTTTGTGTTTTATTGGGCCGAATTAGTCGGGTTAGTTGGGTTACAAAGTAAAGTAAGATAAAAATGATGAGCCATGTTTGTAATAATTAAGTTTTATAAGCTTAAAATGTAAAGTGGTAAATCAAAATGATTTTGAATGCATATGATTTATTGTATTTGTTTGTATCGTATAGTTAGGGTGAAATTGGTATAGAATCAATATTTTTTATTAAATTGTGTGTCATGCCAATTACAGTTTTTATAAAAATTTTGCTACCACTACCGTACTAAGTATAGTTGGTACAAACATATTTGATTACCAATAAGTTCGGTTGGTACATATTGGTAATGGTATATACCAACATGTATATGCTTTTGTAGATGACGATTTTCGTGTTCTTAAGATTGTGAAACGTGAATCGGGGTTTTGTAAATGAGAGCTTTTGTAATGGTTGAGATTGAAAATTAGATCCACAAGGATTTTATTAATTTCTACCAAGCAATGGATGAAATTGAACACGCCAACATGAGCTTACAACTTTAAACTTTACTAATACGGTAAATGTAAGAACATGAAATTAAGAGTGACTTAAGTTTTAGTCAACTAGTGATCAAATGGGCAAAATGATCATTTATGAGAAATTAGAAGATTTGTGAAGTTGTGACTTCATGAAAATGCTCAATATAAGTTTACGTCACTAAGATGAAATTAGACAAGTAAGCTCACGAGAATAAATGCATGAGCATATGCATTTTGGCCAAAAGGGTAAAATTGAAAATTTTACGTTTTTAGGTCAACTTTGTGACTTAATAGATTAATACTTGTGTTAACTCAGTGAGAAATGACTTAACAGATTTGTAGAGTATGTTCCTACCTTTACGTAGATATAAAGATAATAGAAAATGGGTATAGAGCGAATGAGTTATGAAGATTAGAAGTTGGGATGAAAGTTGTCTCCAAAGTTGGAACGGAATCATCAATGAAGTATGTTGATCTACAATCACCACGACGTGACAAGATGCTTACCACGATGTGGTGAGGATAAAAAGTGATTTAGACGAATTCATTCGTCGTAAGTTGTAGGCAACGTACATTGCACCACGACATGGTGTATGGGCACCACAACATATGGGCAAAATAGGTTGCTATGGAAGAATGGTCGCCACGATGCGGAGAAGAGAAGATAAAGGGGTCATTTAGGCCACCACGACATGGTGAACCCCTCACCACGACGTCATTTCAAAATAGATTATACCCTTGATTAAGTTTTAGTCTCACTAAAACACTCCATATTTCTTATAGAATGGAGCTCCAACGATTTGTAGGAAGGATAAGGATCAAGTGGCACTCAAAGGTGTTAGAGGCAAGGATTAAACATCAAAATCCCCTAGTGTAATCATCTTCTCCATTTTTAAGCTAATAGGACTTTAATGGCGATTTATGAAATTGACCTAGAAACGAAAGATTACCCTTAGTAGGCTTGTTATTAATGTTATTAAAAGTGTTTAGGAGCTTTAAATAAGCTCTATATGTGATTTCCAAGGTGAAATATATATCTGTGAAGTTAGGATTTGAAACCCTAACTAATGGTAATATGAATTGATGCAATATATTATATTATAAAGAATTAAGTAGTATGACACGCTTAATTCATTGTTTGGATTAAATTTAGAAGTAAAAAATGAAAAGATATAATATTGATCCATTAAGTAGTCATTTTGACATAAGAAGGTCATTAAGCTCTTAATAAGCTAAGATAAGTTTTGAAGACTTTATTATGTTCAATGAATAGGCCTTAAGCAAGAAAATAGATCAATAATGCATCAATTGAAGAAAAGGATCCAAAGGAGTAGTTAGTCCTCACTAACTAACAAGGTAAGTTATATCATTCTCTCTCATTAGATTTTGTATGTACATATGTTTATATATATATATATATATATATATATATATATATATATATATGTGTGTGTGTGTGTGTGTGTGTGCATGTGAATCTCGAGGCACTAAGTGAATGTCATAAAGTCACTAGAAAGAGAGATTCTAATTATACGTTTAAAATCATATAGTTGAGCATGTACGTATAATTAGATCATATATGAGGTTATGCATTCGAATCTTGTATCTTAGCATGTGTGTATAACTAGAGTATGTATAAGATGTGTAAGGAGATGTTAAGAGTATAATGAGTAATACCCACCAGATATAGATGAAGAAATAATATAATTATGTGTATTATAATCTTATTTACGAGTACATATGTGTGTTAGATATTACAGGTATTGTGAAGAATGCATATATGTTATGATATAAAGATGGAGATTAAGTACTCAATAAGTTAAGTACTATATGAGAAGTAGAAGATCTCTTAATGAGATAAAGAGGTGGATTATCCATGGGATATGTTTCATGTGATGAGTTACGTGACAAATTAATAGAAATGTAGTAAGATGATTCCTTCAACAATGAGATTATGTTTCTGTAGGGAAAGAGATGATGATTCGTTCAGGAATGTTGATAAATGATTAATGCGAAATTAAATTGTATATGATGTGAAAAGATAAGAGTGAGAAAGGTTACATGAGTGGTTCAATTTAATGGAGTTCTTTTAGGAACTAAGATATAATACGTGAGCAATTAAGTGTAACGACGTGAAAATTTAAAATAATTTTTCATTTTTCAAACAAAAGATGTCTCATACAAATCATCTTAAAAATCAAGTGTATCAAGTGTTATCACGCTAGTACCTGAAACACATATTGTTGGGTTTTGAGCATTCTAACACTCCTAAGTGTACATGCAACCCTAAATACCTTGGATCTATGTTTTCTCTATTATACATGCAAATAAGAACATCCAAGGTATTATCCTAATCTAGCATACAAAACAATGAGTGTAACAAGATAGAATACATACCTCTTTGATGTAGAAAGTCTTCATGAAGCTTGAGTGCCTAGCCCCAATAGTGTGGAAGCCTCAAATGGAATCACAATCATCAAAACACTTAGAATAACTTGAGAGAGTTCTACACTTCATGAAATCGGCTAGCCCTCTCTAGAATTATACTAGTGGCCGATTTTTGTCAAGAATAAGATCTTTATATAGTGTTACAATTAGGGTAAATCCTTAATTGTCATGGCTTTCCATTTCCTTGGATCCATGGGTTCAAATACACCATGGAGCATCCATGGACCATCCTATGGGTTTTAGCCCAACTTAATTATCCATGGAGCATTAGCCCACTATATAAGTATGGATGATTTACACAATCAACCCATATATTTAATTAGTCTTCTTTTGATCACTTAATTAATCCTAGATTAATTCTTGATCAATACTAATTAAATAATCTTATTATTCTTATTATTAATAAACTAGAACTTATAATATATTAATAACCATAAATGTCTTATTTCTCTCATTATAGTCTATCCAAGTGCATGATGGTATGCAACCCAAATGGACCATGCGGGGTCGGGTCAAATCTTACCAATTATAGTTATGGACTTAGACATTAATCCAACAGTCTCCCACTTGGATAAGTCTAAAACTATTATTGCGTATGACTTCAGGAACCAACTGGCAATCGTAGCTCTCAAAAGCTTCTGTCGAACTCTGTCCTTGTAGATGAACTCTGACCTTGTCAATGACTTGTCCATTAGATAAGGGATCATATAATCCTCTGTTCTCATGATATCAGCCGGACAAATACATGGAACAACGTCATACTTATTGTCCAGCAGTTTGTTTCCCGATTTTCGATTTGTTTGACAAAGAACTTAATCGAACACATCAATTCAGTTCTGACCGGCCGGTACATAGGTCACAACAAAATCATCGAGGGGCCCAGATATCGCTTCTATTTCTAGAAGGAACAGATAAACTTCGACTCATATGCTTGTTCTACTACTTGTTGAATTGTACACAAAGGCACGTTTTATAACATCAAGTTACTGATGCGTTTACATGCAATCAATGCACAACCAACTCATAGGTAATAACTCATATCTCTAGGTTTGAAGATTTATATGATATTACCGTCTCACAATCACTCGAGATAAATTCCATGAAGTGATACAAGTGAGCGTGGGTTTATTCCAATACTCATAACTTATGAGCACTCATGAATGTTGTAGCAACCATTGCTATGACTAAACCCATTTAGCCATCTACAAACCCGATTCATGACAGTCTTGATTCATACCTACTTCCAACATATGAACGATTGTGGAGTGTTTAAATAACTTAGTCATTCGAAAAGAATAACCTAGCTATTTTGGAAGTCAAAACATGCAAAGTGAAACACAATAATAATCGAATCTAATATGGTCTCAGAACCCTTTTGAATATAAATAAAACCACCTTTTATTTATCACCATATTGATTACACATTATTCAATGTTTCAAATAATCAACTTAATACTTGAATAAAAACAACAGTCGTCCCATGCTCCTAGCATGTACACTTTGTTTTTCTAAACAATAGTTATGCCATACCTCAAGTATGCACACTATGTTTGTCTATGATCCTTACATTGTGATGTAGATCAATTGAACATGATTCCAATGATACTCATTTCACAATCCCAAATCCTTATTGTAAATGCAAGAATTCCAAATTCATGTCATTTACTGAAATCTGTTAGATTCTAAACTTATATGCATTGATCCTCTTGTAATGATTATGCACGAAGTCAGAAAGACTTGACAACAACCATTACAGAGCATTCCAAAGGAGATCAGCTCCTTGGGAACATCCTTCTTGCATTAAGTTTCCTAATCTTACATAGATTGAATAATTTCTAACTTTGAAACATTTCCAGATCCTATTTTGACTATCACTTATGAACAAGAGTTGCCTCCTTAACAGATTATGTCAATATGGTCCTTCCAGAATTATCACTATACTTCCAATTGTCCTTGAGAAACCAATCTTTGGTAAACCTTAGATTGTCCTCGACAATTATTTAATCACTTTAGTCATATGCAGTTCTAGACTTTTCCCTTCTAAATGCCTTAAGCATTTGGAAAATTTAGAAAGGATGAATATTATAGCACGTGAAATCGATCCTATATCCGAAGCATATGGGACACGATTCATGATGTTTGACATAAAGA